TCCTAGGAAACGTACATTTCTTCCAGATTCTCAAACTTCTTAGCATAAAGGTTAGAGAAGTATTCCCTTATAATGTTCTGAATCATGGTTGCTTCTATGGCGATGTTTCCATTCTCATCTTTGAGTTTGTTTAGCTGTTTGTATTCTTTTTTTTTTCTGATAAGATTTGTCAATTTTGTTCTTTTTTTTGAGAACTCTTTTAAAAAAAAATTTTTTTTTGTTGCCGTACAGAGGGGTTACAATTACATGGGCAAGATAATGAGTACATTTCTTATCAAGCATTGTAGCCTCCTCCTATGTTTCCCCTTCCCATCCCTCTCCATCCTCCTGATCCCCCCACCCAATTCACCCTGTTCCCCTCCCCCCTCCCCTCCTCCACACAGAGGTGTAAAGTTGTTTTTGTTTTTCTTTCTTTATTGTGAAAATACTGTACAGAAGGTTACAATTACATGGGCAAGATAATGAATACATTTCTTATCAAGCATTGTAGCCTCCTCCTTTGTTTCTCCTTCCCATCCCTTCCCATCCTGCCCCCCCCCACACCCAATCCTCCCCGCTACCCTCCCCCCCACCAAAGTTGTAAAGTTCATTTTTCGACATAACTACTTGTACATCTCATTGTTGCAATGGGCCAACCTGTATCTCTATTTAAACGATTAGTTTTTCCCCTTCCCCTTCACAAATTATACCGACATCAAATACAGCGAAAACAGGGGAAATACTGTGGGGGAGGGTCATACAAAGCAACAAAGAAATAATCTTATAAATGTGTTAGAAACAATCGCATGAAAGAAAAAAACATGTGAGTACATGTCTTAGGTTGCATTTCCCTAACATCACCTTATCAGACCTTTTCTGCTTGACTCAGACATACACTAGATATTGCAAATAAGGAAAACCATGGGACCTATGTTTCTTTGGGCCTGGCTTACTTCACTTAATATAGTTTTTTCCAAGCCTTTCCATTTCCTAACAAATGGGGCAATGTCATTCTTTCTGATGGAGTCATAGAATCCCATTGTGTATATATACCACATTTTCTTGATCCATTCATCTACTGAGGGACATCCAGGTTGGTTCCATATCTTAGCTATAGTAAATAGTGCTGCAATAAACACAGTCCTGCTGGTAGCTTTAGTATGGTCTTATTTGGAAACATTTGGGTAAATGCCCAAAAGTGGGATTGCTGGGCCATAGGGGTACTCTATGTGGAGTCTTTTGAGGAACCTCCATACTGCTTTCTAAAGTGATTGAACAAGACTACAGTCCCCCCAACAATGCAATAAGGTTCCCTTCTGTCCACATCCTCTCCAGCATTTGTTGTTATTAGAGTTCTTGATTATAGCCATTCTAACTAGGGTGAGATGGTATCTCAATGTTGTTTAGATTTGCATTTCTTTTATGGCTAGGGAGGTTGAGGATTTCTTCATGTGTCTATTGGTCATCCTTCTTTCCTCTTCAGAGAAGTTTCTCTTAAGTCTTTATCCCAGTTATTTATTGGGCAGTTGTTTCTTTGAGGAATTGTTGTTGGGGGATTTAATTTTTTAGTTCTAAGTATATTTTAGATATGAGACCCTTGTCCATCGTATGGCTAGTGAAGATCTTCTCTCAATCTGTAGGCTTTCTATTGATCTTGCTAGCTATGTCCTTTGCCATGCAGAAGCTCTGCAACTTCATGCAATCCCATTTGTCTAACCTTCCTTTGATTTGTTGTGTTTCTGGGTCTCTATTAAGAAAATTTCGGCCTGTGCCAAAGAGACCTAGGGTTTCTCTTATTTCATTCTGTAATGTTTTCAGAGTGTCTGCTTTGACTCCGAGGTCTTTGATTCATTTGGAGTTCATTCTGGTATAGCGTGATATATAAGGATCTAGCTTTAGTTTTCTTCAAGTTGTTAACTAATTTTGCCAGCACCATGTACTGAAGAGGCTGTCTTTCTTCCATTTTATTTTTTTTAGCTCCCTTATCGAAGATTAGATGGCTATAGGTCTGTAGGTTCATTTCTGGGTTTTCAATTGTATTCCATTGGTCCTGAGGTCTGTTCTTGTGCCAGTACCAATCTGTTTTGATTACTGTGGCTTTATAGTAGAGTTTGAAATTTGGTATTGATAATCCTCCAGCAGTGTTCTTTCTGTTGAGGATTGTTTTTGCTATTCGGGGTCTTTTATTGTTACACATGAATTTTTGTATTGCCTCTTCTATTTCCTTGAAAAATGAGGTTGGAATTTTGATGGGTATCACATTGAATTTGTAGATAGCCTTGGGAAGTATTGTCATTTTCACGGTGTTGATCTTTCCAATGCAGGAGCATGGGAGTTTTTGCCACTTTCTAAGTTCTGTTTTGATTTCCTTTTTCAAGTTTTTAAAGTTTTCTTCATAGGGGTCCTTCACTTCTTTGGTTAAGTTAGTTATTTTATTTTTTGTGGGGCTATTACTAAGGGAGATGCTTTCCTAATTTCAGCCCCACTTTTCTCATTGTTGGCATACAGAAAAGCCATTGATTTTTGAGGGTTAATTTTATACCTTGTTTCTTTGCCAAAGTTTTGAATCAGTTTGAGTAATTTGGGAGTGGAGTCTATGCGATTCTTTAAATACAAGATCATGTCATCTGCAAAGAGGGAGAGTTTTACTTCTTCTTTCCCTATTTGAATCCCCTTTATGTGTGCATCTTGTCTTATTGCTGTAGCTACGCATTCTAATACTAGATTGAAGATAAGTGGAGAGAGTTGACATCCTTGTCTTGTTCCTGAGTTAAGAGGAAATGGCTTTAGTTTTTCACCATTAAGTATAATGCTGGCTGTAGGTTTGTCGTATGCAGCCTTTATTGTATTGAGGAATGTTCCATGGATTCCTAATTTTTCCAAGACCTTCATCAACGAATCCCTTTGTTATCAAGCATTGTTGCCTCGTCATTTCCCCTCTTTGCCAACTTTTTAAAAAAAATTTTGTTTTTCGACATAATGTCTTGTATATCTCATTGTTGCAATGGGTCCACCAGCATCTCTTTTTATTATTATTATTATTTTTATTGTGAAAATACTGTACAGAGGGGTTACAATTACATGGGCAAGATAATGAGTATATTTCTTGTCATGCATTGTAGCCTCCTACTTTGTTTCCCCTTCCAATCCCTTATAGCCTCCCCCCAGCCCCCACCCAATCCTCCTCCCCCACCCCACCAAAGTTGTAAAGTTCATTTTCAACATAACAACCTCTACATCTCATTGTTGCAATGGGTCCACCTTTTTCTCTATTTAAATGATTTGTTTTTCCCCTTCCACTCCACAAATTATACCGACATCAAATACAGTGAAAGCAGGGGTTATATCGTGGGGGAGGGACATACAAAGCAACAAAGAAATAATCTTATAAATGTGTTAGAAATAATCGAATGCAAAAAAAATTTGAATACATATTGTAGGGTTTATTTCCCTAACATCAACTTATCTGACCTTTTCTGCTTGACTCAGACATATACTAGTTATTGCAAATAAGGGAAACCATGAGACCTAAATTTCTTTGGGCCTGGCATACTTTACTTAATATATTTTTTTCCAAGTCTTTCCAGTTCCTAACAAATGGGGCAATGTCATTCTTTCTGATGGAGGCATAGAATTCCATTGTGTATATATACCACATTTTCTTGATCCATTTATCTGCTGAGGGCCATCTGGGTTGGTTCCATATCTTAGCAATGGCAAATAAGGCTGCAATAAACATAGTCGTGTTGATAGCTTTAGTGTGGTCTTGGTTGTGAACATTTGGATAAATGCCCAAAAATGGGATTGTTGGTCATAGGGGAGCTCTATGTTGAGTCTTTAGTGAAACCTCCATACAGCTTTCCAAAGGGGTTGAACAAGACTAAAGTCCCCCCAACAATGCAGTAAGGGTCCCTTCTCTCCACATCCCCTGTAGCATCTGTTTTTGTTAGAGTTCTTGATATTAGCCATTCTAACTGGGGTGAGGTGGTATCTCAATTTTGTTTTGATTTGCATTTCTTTTATGGCTAGGGAGATTGAGCATTTCTTCTTGGGTCTATTGGCCATCCTTCTTTCCTCTTCAGAGAAGTTTCTCTTAAGTCTTTATCCCAGTTATTTATTGGGCAGTTGTTTCTTTGAAGATTTGTTATTGGGGGATTTAATTTTTTGTGTTGCAGATATATTTTAGATATGAGACCCTTGTCTGTTGTATGGCTAGTGAAGATCTTCTCCCAATTGGTGGGCTTTCTATTAATCTTGCTAGCTATGTGCTTTGCCCTACAGAAGCTCTGCAATTTCATGCAATCCCATTTGTCTAACCTTTCTTTGATTTTTTTGTGTTTCTGGGTCTCTATTAAGAAAATTTCAGCCTTTGCCAAAGAGTCCTAGGATATCTTCTACCCCCTCCTGTAATGTTTTCAGGGTGATTGCTTTGAAAAGTCTCAATTTTTATCACATGGTATTGTACATGTTCGTCTGTTGAAACATTTCTTTTTAACTGATCTTAGTTTAAAAAAGTTATAGACACTGTGAGTTCTGTATAAACTGGTGGAGAGCAAATTATTTCCTTTTCTCTGACTGACAAGCCTCAACTTCACTGAAGGATAAAGAATGAGGCCAAAGAAAGCATAATTTGTCACTCTTATAGAACAGTATTGTTTGTATAATTTGAAGCTTTGTGAATGGACGAGTTCAGGCCCGATCTAACTGTAAAAACATTACTTAATGCATACACTATATGGAAATCGTACAAAATGTTATTAACTTTAATCATTAATAGTTTAAACAGTACTCTATTACTATCTGCTATTCAAAAACCAAAGCTTCCTTGGGCCCTAGCAGGGGGCGGCTGTTGGAGCTCCCTCCTCCTGCATGCCCCATGCTGAGGGGTGGAGTATTTGGCTTTCAGAATCCCAGGCATTTAAAGAATGGCTTCAGTTGTCAAAAGGAGTACAAGAGGGCTGTGCTTTAGTAATGCACACCCTAGCAGAGGGGCTGGAGGTGCAGGACAGTCCTACTGTCAGAGCTAGGGGACTCTGGTGCACAGGACAAGACAAGGAGAGAAAGCAATCCCTTTGAAACAAAATCTGAAAATAAAAAATATGTTCACAGTGGTTTATATCAACAGTATGCATTTCATGACAGTAACATGTACAGACTCAGAGCACCCTAGGGGTCTTTATATCCTAAAGAAAATGAGCATTTACACTATTCATGGTTTGCACTGAATTAAAAAAAATCAATTGTACACTTACTCCTCCGACAGGATAAACTGTCCTGGGTGTACATCTTTAACACCATCATTAACGTTGTTTGCAAAAGGAATAGGGTATTTAAAAACAAAATCATTTTTCTTTCATTTACTGTTATAACTAGCAAATGCCATCCTTAAGTTGAAGAGCGGAGGGCCCACAGCACAGGTCTATCTGAGCAGGTTGACCGGCACGCATGTGCGGTCTGAAAAATGAAGGCTATCTATAATTCTATGGCACAAGTCCTGACTGAGAGGCAGGGTGAGGCTATTTCTTTGCTTGCTTTGTGACCATACCGCAGGGTGGCGTGACAGATCTCATGGCATTCGGCTTCTTTTTCTCTGCAGGCTTTAAAATCTGGAAGGAACACATCAGCCTCTAGTCCACGCTCATCATGGCCCCCGCATTGTCAAACTCTCCACAGTAGATTGGCGCAGAGAACAGAGTGACCAACTGCCTCTTCGCAAAAAATTCATATCCGTCTTCAACCACCTGATGGGCTCTACAAATAAGGTCCAAATCGTGCTTATGGAGGAATTTGGCAACCACTTCTGCACCAAACGTGATGGACACACCTCTGTCATTTTCACCTCAACCTAAGACATCTTTATCGGGGTCAGACCACAAAAGATCACAAAGAAGATATTGATCAGGCACATCAGTTGGTCACATAATTCGCCGAATCTGCTCCATAGATTGAAGATCTGGTGATGAGCCCCCATGACAGCAGAATATTTTCTCATCCACAATAGCTGCTATTGGCAAGCAGTTAAAACAGTCTGTGAAAGTCTTCCATAGTTTAATGTGTATCTTCTTTTACATTCATCATAAAACCCATAAATTCTATTGATGCTGGCGCACTCGTGGTTGCTTCTGAGAAGGAAGACCTTCTCGGGGTACTTGATCTTGTAGGCCAGTAAGAGGCAGATGGTCTCCAGGGACTGCTTCCCCCTGTCCAAGTAGTCCCCCAGAAAGAGATAGTTGCTTTCTGGCGGGAATTCCCCGCATTCTAAAAGTCGAAGCAAATCATAGTATTGCCCGTGGATGTCACCACATATTTTGAGTGGTGCTTCAAGTTCTAGTAGGATAGGCTGACTGAGAAAGATCTCGCGGGACTTCAAGCACAGTCCTCTGTTTTCATTCTCCTGCAGCTGGACATTCTTACCTGGCTTGGACCCTCTCACTTCAAGCAGCCTTTGGATGATGCTGTCGATGTTGAGTTTGTCGATATCTGCCATCGCCTTCCAGCCACTGGCCCTCCCGCAGCAGCGGCGCCTCCACCAGCAGCTCATGCCCGGGACTCAAGGCTCACTGCTTCCTCCTTCGATCCCTACCGAAACCACCGCTAATCTATTGCTTGACCCACTGGTTATTCAACAGAGTGTTGTTCAGCCTCCATGTGTTACAAGACTTTTTCTGTTGACTTTTGCTGTTAAGTTCTAATTTTATTCCCTTGTGGTCTGAGAGAATTCAGGGCATAACTTCAATGTTTCTGAATTTGGACAAATTTGCTATGTGATCTAAAATGTAGTCTGTTTTGGAAAATGTTCCGTGTGCTGCTGAGAAGAACATATATTCTGAGGCTGCTGGGTGAAATATTTCGCAGACCTCTGTTAAATCTAGTTGATCTATGTAATTGATTAGATCTGCGGTTTCTCTGTTGAGTTTTTGTCGGGTTGATCTATCTAGTGGGGATAGCGGTGGGTTATAAGTCCCCAACAATTAATGTCTTTGGATCTCTGTGAGATTTGAGGGAAAGTAGTGTTTCTTGGATAAATTTGGGTGTTGTGTTGTTTGGTGAATAGATATTTAGAACTGTAATATTCTCCTAAAAGAGAGATCCCTTAATTAGTATGTAGTGACCTTCTTTATCTCTTCTCAGAAATTTTAATTTGAACTCTCTTTTATCTGATATTAGGATAGCAACTCCTCTCTGTTTATGGGGGCCATTTGCGTGGTAGATTTTATTCCAGCCTTTCACTTTCTAAATATGTTTCTTTTTATGGCCAAGGTGTGACTCTTGAAGGCAGCATATAGAAAGATCTTGCCTTTTATGCCAACTATGTTGCTTAATTGGAGAGTTAAGCCCATGATATTGAGAGTTAGACAAGTTTACACTCCCACCAACTATACAGTAGTGTTCCCTTCGGTCCATATCCCCTCCAGCATCTGTTGTTATTAGAGTTCTTGATTATAGCCATTCTAACTGGGATGAAGTGGAATCTCAATGTTGTTTTGATTTGCCTTTCTTTTATGACTATCGAGTTTGAACATTTGTTCATATGTCCATTATTCTTTCTTATTTCCTCTTCAGAGAAATTTCTTAAGTCCTTAGCCACTTATTTATCATGCAGTTGTTTCTTTGAAGATTTGTTGTTGGGTGATTTATTTTTTTGAGCTCCAAATATATTTTAGATATGAGACCCTTGTCCATTGTTTGGCTAGTGAAGACCATCTCCCAATCCTTGGGCTTTCTATTGATCTTGTGAGCTATGTCCTTTGCCATGCAGAAGCTCTGCGGTTTCATGCAATCCCATTTATCCAACCTTTCTTTGGTTTGTTGTCTGTCTGGTCTTTATGTAGAAAATTTCTCTCTGTGTGAAGGAGCCCTAGAGTTTCTCCTATTCCTTCCTGTAATGTTTTTAGTGTGTCTCTTTTGACTTCGAGGGTATTGGCCATTGTTATTTCGTCTTCAGAGAAGTCTGTCTTTAAGTCTTCAGCCCAAGTTTTAATCGGTTGGTATTTTTCTGCATTACTCTTTGCTTAGCATTACTCTTTGCTTAGCTTCCTCCCCTTCATGCCATTCCTGTAGTTCTCTTTGAGTGTTCTCAGCCTGTTCACGCCATTCCTACCTTTCTCTTTGAGTATTCTCAAGCTGCTCATGCAAATCCTGTATCAGTTTTTCAGCAGCTTCCTCACGCTCATGATATTCCTGTATAAACCTTTTGTTTGCCTCCTCTCTCTCCCTATCACACTCATACAGAGTCCTTTGTAGGTTTTCAATCTTTTCATTTACCATGTTTACCATGTTTGTAGAGCTATTTGAGAACTCTCCTCTAGATTATTCATTATCTGTTCTGTCCCCTGATTATCATGAGTGGGAGTTGAGATACCCGGACTTGCCATTTTTCTTGTGTTTTTTTTTTTTTTCCAGCTTACTCTGCCCATTTGGGATGGAAGTAACACCAGTTTTTAGCTAGAACACTATCTTAAGGCAAGCATCAACTAATATCTGTAGTTGCACAGTCAAAAGTCTGCAGATACAATCTAGTTCAACAGATATATTTATTCAACATCAAACAACTCTATATTAAAGGGCTACGAACCACAAAGAAGAATTTGGCAAACCAGAAATTATTAGGTTTAGGGAGAGATGTGGGTAAAAATAGGAATAGAGGGATGTGGGAAGGCACAGGGAGAGTTAACTTAACCAAGTCCTAATCTCAAAGCGAGAATCAGGTTGGATAGGATGAAAGTAGAAAGAAAGAAAAAAAGAAGAAAGAGAAAGAGAAAAAAAGCGAAGAAAAATAGAAAAGCAAAAACTAAAAAGTGCGATGCTTAAAAATTATGCAAATTGAAAGTGAAATATTCAGATAAGAACGTGGATATAATGAGAGAAAGGGAGGGATATAAAGGATAAGTGAAAAACTTAAAAATAAAAATACTTAAAATATTATATAGGTATTAAGAGGTAGTACTGCTATTAAGGAATTTAAGTCTAAAAGGTTTTCAATTGAGTAATAAATTTCTGGATTAAGTGTGTACACAATTGGGGGGTAAAGTCTAATAGTCAACTACTGGTGTTTCTGAGGAGGTGGGGAACAGTAATTAAGTCACACAAAGAAGAACGAAAGAGAAGAAAAGGTGAAAAGAATGAGAAAGAAAGAAAAAGACGATCAAAAGTTCAGTAGAGCTAAACAAAAAACAAAAAAATAAAATTTTTTAAAAAGCAAAAGAAGAAAGAAAAACGAACACACCTATACCCCTAAAATAAAAATCATAAGAGGAAGAAAAAAAAAGTTACTAGAAAACAATTTTTTTAAAGGTAAAAATTAAAAAAAGTTTTAGAAAAAAAATTTTTTATAAAAGATACAAGAAAAAAAAAAAGTTCTTTGATTTTTTTGGGGAGGGTTGGGAAGATCCTGTATCTCCCTTGTGTCCCTAACCAGTCTCTTGTTGGAGTCACTGGTCTGCTTGTGGTGTTTGATTTTCCTGTGGCTTGATTGGTTTCTTAAGTCAGTTTGTTTGAGCAGCCAGAAAAATGCTCTGCTTTACCCAGGATTTTGTGATCCTCCTCTCAGGCTAGTTCAATGGGAGGGAGATCTGCTTTGAGTATCACAAAATGGGGAGATGGCTGTTTCCTCTAGTTTGGAGATGCTGTGATGAGGCTAGGTTCTGGGTAGAGTTGAGGCCTTTCAGCAAACAGTAGCTTTTCCCTGAGGGGCTAGCTTGTGAGAAACTCACAGAGCCCAGCCTGGAGTCATTCTCAGGGTTTATGTTTACTGAATTTCAATTGATTGTCAAGGCTGCTAAAGGGAGGGGCAGCCTCTGGCTCTGTTTACCTAGTGAAGACAGCCACTCCTGGGGCTGGCAGCCCAAGCTCGGTGACTTTTCCCTGGGTGGAGCTGAGTCTGGCAGGTCAGGTTAAGTTCTTGTGACCTGCTAAATGACTCTTGTTTTCTTCCAAGGCCTGAGTTGGAGCTAGCAGCTCAGCTGGGCTTTTGTCAGTATCAAAGATGGAGATCTCCTGTAGTGGGGGGTTGGGGGAAGGGTGGCCTTCCCTCTTCTGCTCCCTGAGTAGGAGTGAGGATATCAGACTTCTACTCATGCTGAGTCTTGGTTCCTGGGTCGTCTCTGGTCTGCGAACTGCAGGATGAAGATGTGTGCTCCTTGTCAGTTCTTGCTGGTGTTGAGTAGAATCCACTTGCCTGCCGCATCTGGCTCCTTCATCCCAGACTCTCGGTGTTGCAGGTATGGCTGCTACGGCTGCCGCCACTGCAGCCGCAGCCGCAGCCACATCTGCTGACAAGTGCTCAGATCTGTCTGTTTGCCTGGATTTCCCCTCTCTGGCCTAACTCTGTACTGTGATGGCACACTTGGTGTGATTCTCTGGCTTAGGACTGTTCACTGGAACACTAAAACTGCTTTCTATGTGAGAGCTTCTTTAGCCTCCAGCTTCTCCTCCGCTAACTTCCTGGAACTTTGTCTGTTTCAGTTTTTCTTCACTATGGAAGGTTTTTATTTGACCTTCTATAATGAAGGACAGTTTAGCTGGGTACAGTATTCTTGGTTGATAGTTGTTTGTCTTTAGGCATTTCATATATCATTCCAGGTTCTTCTTGCTTTGATTGTCTCTGCTGAGAAACCTGAGGTGATTCTACTTGGTTTCCCTTCATAGGTGATTGATCTTTTCTCCTTGACAGTTTTAAGGATCTTTTCCTAGTTCTGGATTGATCCTGTGTGGATTATAATGTGAGGGTGGGATGACCTATTCTGGTCTGGTCTATTTGGAGTTCTAAAAGCTACTGGTATCTGAATAGGACTATCTTTTTGCATGTGTGGGAAGTTCTCTGTTAGAATCCTGTTAAACAAATTTCCTAGACAATTAACTTCTGTCTCTAGGTGCTCCTGTATACTGATTATTCTCAGATTAGGCCTTCTGATGGTGTCTTTCAAGTGTTGAATAGATCTATCATATTTCTTGAATTTGTCTTGGATGGTTGTATGTTCTTTCTCTATAATATCTAGGCAGTCTTCAATCCCTGAAATTTGATCTTCTGCATGGTCTAACCTACTATCAATACTTTCTAATTTGTTTTTGATTTCTTTTCCTTCTAGTTGGTCGGCTTTGATGGCTTCAAATTCTTTGTTGAAGCTTTGTTTTAGATCTTGTATGAACTTTTTTCTTCCTTAATTTGGTATTCAGTGTTTATTCTCAAATCACTTAGTTGATTGGTTATGGTTTCCTTGTACTGCCATTCCTTCTGTTGGGTTCCATTCAGCATTCCCTTTGTGGTCTCCCTGACTTTTTTCAGCTCTCTGTTTATGGATTCCATGAATGCCTTTAGTGATCTTTATGTATTCTCATCCTGCTCTCTCAATTCCAGTATTACTCTTTGATTTGCTTCCTTCTGTTCACGCAATTACTGTAGTTCTCTTTGAGTGTTCTTAGCTTGCTCACGCCATTCCTGACTTTCCCTTTGTCTGTTCTATGCCAGCTCTCGCAATTCCTGTCTATGTCTTTGACTCATCTCATCCTGCTTACGGCATTACTTTATTTCTCTTTGAGTGTTCTCAGGTTGCTCACACAATTCCTGTATCAATCTTTGAGTAGTTTCCTCAAGCTCATGATATTCCTGTAGTGACCTTTAGTTTGCCTTCTCTCTCTCCCTATCATGCTCACATAGAGTCCTTTGCAGGTTTTCCATCTTTTCATTTACCATGTTTACCAGTAGTGTTTGTAGAGCTTTTTGGGAACTCTCCTCTGGATTATTCATTATCTGTTCTGTCACCTGATTATCATGAGTGGGAGTTGAGATACCCGGACTTGCCATTTTTCTTGTGTTTTTCCGGCTTGCTCTGTCCATTTGGGATGAAAGTAACACCAGTTTTTAGCTAGAACATTATCTTAAGGCAAGCATCAATCAAAGTCTGTAGTTGCACAGTCAAAAGTTTGCAGATACAATCTAGTTAAACAGATATATCTATTCAGCATCAAACAACTGTGTATTAATGGGTTACAAACCGCAAAGAATTTGACAAACCAATAATTATTAGGCTTAGGGAGAGGTGTGGGTAAAAATAGGAATAGAGGGATGTGGAAAGGCAGAGGGAGAATTAACTCAACTAAGTTCTAATCTCAAAGAGGGAAATAGGTTGGATAGAATGATAGTAGAGAAAGAGAAAAAAAGAAGACAAAAAAAGAAAAAAGAGAGAAGAAAAATCAGAAAACAAAATTAAAAATTAATGCGTGAAAAACATAAAAATTATGCAAATTTAAAAACGTAATATTCAGAGAAGAACATTGATAGGATAAGAGAAACGTAGGGATAGAAAGGAGATGTGAAAAATTTAAAAATAAAAGTGCATAAAATATTATATAGGCATAAAGAGGTAGTAATGCTATTATGGAATTTAAGTCTATGATGTTTTGAATTTAGTAATAAATTTCCAGATTAAGTGTGTATACAATGGGGGATAAGGTCTAATTATTGGCTATGGGTATATCTGAGGATGAGCAGAACAGCAATTTAGTCATGCAATGAAGAACAAAAGAGAAGAAAAAGTGAAAAGAATGAGATGGAAATTAAAAAAAATGATCAAAATGTCAGTAGAGCTAAAGAAAAAAAAGTTAAATAAAAGAAACAAAAGGAAAAAAGAACGAATAAAAAAGCACACACACATATACCCCTAAAATAAAAATTATAAGAGGAAGAAAAAAAAGTTAATAGAAAACAATTTAAAAAAAAGTTAAAAATTAAAAATTAAAGGTAATTTTAGAATTTTTTTTATAAATGGTATAAACAAAGAGTTCTTTCTTTTTTTGGGGGTGGGGGAAGAATGGCAAGATCCTGTATCTCCCTTGTGTCCCTAACCAGTCTCTTGTTGGAGTTTCTGGTCTGCTTGCGGTGTTTTTCCTGTGGATTGGTTGTTTTCTGAAGTCAGTTTGTTTGAGCAGGCAGAAAAATGCTCTGCTTGACCCAAGATTTTGTGATCCTCTTCTCAGGCTAGTTCAATGGGAGGGAGATCTGCTTTGAGTATCACAAAATGGGGAGATGGCTGTTTCCTCTAGTTTGGAGATGCTGTGATGAGGCTAGGTTCTGGGTAGAGTTGAGATCTTTCAGCAAACAGTCACCTTTCACTGAGGCGCTAGCTTCTGAGACACTCACGGAGCCCAGCCTGGAGCGATTCTCAGGGTTTATTTTTTCTCAATTTCAATTGATTGCCAAGGCTGCTAAAGGGATAGGCAGCCTCTGGCTCTGTTTACCCAGTGAAGAAAGTCACTCCTGGGTCTGTTGGCCAGGCTGGGTGACTTTTCCCTGGGTGGAGCTGAGCCTGGCAGGTCAGGTTAGGTTCTTGTGACCTGTTAAATGACTCTTGTTTTCTTCCAAGGCCTGAGTTGGAGCTATGTTTTCAAGTTGACAACATGTGTTAGATCCAAATTAAGTTGTATGTATAAAGCACATTTTGTTTTTAATATATATTTTATTGTAAAGATTCTGTACCAGAGAAGTTACAGTTAAATAAGTAAGGTAATGAGTACATTTTCTATTGAGCATTGTTACCCCCTCCTTTGTTTTTCCCTACCATCTCTTTCCTGTCAACCTCCCCAACTACTTCCCCCCAAGATTGTATAGTTCATTTTCAACATTGTGTCTTGTACATCTCATTGTTACAATGGGTCAACCTTTATCCTTATTTCAGTGTTTTGTTATTTCCTTTCCCCTCTCGCAAATTATAAAAATGTATATACAAGATCCAGGGCATCCATATCAAATACAATGAAAACAGAGGTTATACCAAGGAGGATGAATATACAAGGGAAACAAAATAATCACAAAGTACATTAAAAATATATTAAAACAAGAATAACAAAAGATAAAACCCCTTGTGTCCCTACCTTGGTATTCATTTCATTTAATATCATCTTATATGGTCATATGTATATAGCTTTTGGCCTTTTCTGCTTGTCCTAGACATGTACTAGTTATTGCAAATGAGGGGAACTATGGGACCTATGCTTCTTTGGGCCTGGCTTACTTCCCATAGTGCAATTTTTTCCAAGTCTTTCCATTTCCTAACAAAGGAGGCATTGTCATTTTTTTCTGATGGAGGCATAGAATTCCATTATCTCTCTCTCTCTCTCTTACATTTTCTTCATCCACTCATCTATTGAGGGAATCTGGGTTGGTTCCATATCTAAACTATGGTGAATAATGCTTCGATAAACATAGTTGTGCTGGTAGCTTTAGTATGGCCTTGTTTGTGATCATTTGGGTAAATGCCCAGAAGTGTGATTGCTCAGTCATAGGGGAGCTGTATGTGTATTCTTTTGAGGAACCTCCATACTACTTTCCAGATTGTGTGAACAAGTTTACACTCCCACCAATAGTGCAGTTGTCTTCAATTTTGGTCATATCCTCCCCAGCATCTGTAGTTGTTAGATTTCTGGATTATAGCCATTCTAACGGGGGTGAGATGGAAGCCATTTCTCCCTATGTCTATTGGAGATTTTTATTTCCTGTGCAGAGAAGTCTCTCCTTAGGTCTTTAGCACACTTATTAATGGGGCAGTTGTTTCTTTGAGGATTTTTTTTGGGGAGATTTAATATTTTGAGGTCTGAGTATATTTTAGATATGAGGCCCTGTCTCTTGTAGATATTCTTCCAATCTGTGTGGTTTTTATTGATCTTGCTAGCTATGTCCTTTGCCATGCAGAAGCTCTTCAATTT